TATTATTATTATTATTTAACTGATCATATTTTTCCTAAAATATGAAAAGTTCTATTATCATCATTTGTTGATGCTAATCTCTAATTTCGGTCGATGATGGAAATTTCCTAATTGTCATAGTTTTTATTCTTCCCAATTCCATATATTGGTCCATAAACAAAAGGGTAAATGACAAAAAAAAAACACTCTTTTAACACAGAAATTCGATTTTGACACTGTGTTTTTTTGTATCAATTTTGACACTGTGTTTTCTAATTTGTTATAATTCTGACCACTTGATCGGTTAACCAGGTTATATGCTGACGTGGCATGATGACGTGTCAGTTTTGATGACGTGGCATGCTGACATTATATGCTGATGTGTCAAAATTGAATTTTTTTTTTCTCACAAAAAACACTAAGTTTTTAATTTTTTTCGAATTTTAAGTTTAATTTTTTCTTTCAACTTTGACACTATGTTTTTTTGTTCCAAATCGAACATCATTTTTTCCAATTTTGTTCAATGTTGACAATTTTCTATTTGAAACCGTATAAATATTATTTTAATACATTAAAACCGTATAAATATGTTTTTTTCATTTAAAAACCATAGTTTTGTATAAATACATTTTTTTACACTCAAACCATAATTTTATATATAAATATGTATTAGTTATATAAAAATTGTATTTTATATTAAATATGCAGCTTTCAAATGTGTTTGGAGGTTTGGAGGCGTGTAGTCGATCAAAAAACTCAGATATCAAGTTTGCAACCCATCAAATTTTTATATCTTATTAGAAGCTTATGGTTAGTGTGATTCTCATGATATAACTAATGCTTTAAATGTATGAAAAAAACACATTGTATTTAAATAAAAATGTGGTTTTTAAACGAAAAATATATGTTTATACGGTTTAAAATGTAATAAAAAAATATATTTATACGGTTTCAAATAGAAAATAGATAAAATTGAACAAAATTTGATAAAAGATGTTCGATTGGAACAAAAAAACATAATCTCAAAATTGAAATAAAAAGTTAAATTTAATGTCAAAATCGAAAAAAAGTGAAAACTTAGTGTTTTTCATGGAAAAAAAATCAATTTTGATACGTCAGCATATCATGTGAGCATGCCACTTCATCAAAAACTGACACGTCATCATACCATGTCAGCATGTAACCTGGTTAACCGGTCAAGTGGTCAAAATTGTAACAAATTGGAAAACACAGTGTCAAAATTGATACAAAAAAAACACGGTGTCAAAATCGAATTTCTGTGTAAAAAGAGTGTTTTTTGTGACATTTACCCTAAACAAAAACAATTACCTTTGTATCACCGTAAAGCCATATAAAAAGAACCACGCCGACATCAAGACTCTAAGAAACTCTTTTATTTTACAAAGAATGATATAACCTTATTCACATAATTAGTTTCTGCTTTAAAACAAAAAGAAAATCCTAAAAAATCTAGAATAAGAAATACATTGATATAATTCACAAGGTTATCAATCCTGAGAAGATACAATATGAATCATTATTTTGGAAAATGAAACTAAATTACAGAACTGAAGTAGTAATAAGATAGGGTCGAATAAGTACCTTGAGCCAAGCTAGCGGAGCCATGAGCATGGTGGAGTATTCCTCAAGTACAAGACACAATTTTCATTGATTAACACTAACTTAAATCTGCACCTGGAAAATCAAGAATTAGTGAACATTGATAGAGATCCATATTCATGAGAAACCCGATGTATCAGATAGAAAGGGATACAAATGGCAGAGTATTGTAAGGCAATCATCTGAGTCCATAATTCCAATCTCAAGCCGAATAAGATAAATTAAAAAAATGCAATCTAGATTCAACCCTTCAGCCCACTTAGCCAATGTTTCAAGAATCAAGAAACCAACAAAAATACACAAAAACTACTTACCAGTTGTGAGATAATGAAGAGAAAAAAATCAGCATCTAGGTTTTTTTTGGTTTTAGAGAGAAGGAAGAAGATACGGTGTGATGTGTAACACCTTGTCTTGGGTCGTTTCATAATTTAGGGCCATAACCCGAGGATCAAGTATCATAAGGTTTCGGGATTTGGGAATGAGGGGTTTAGTCCCATTTAGAGGTGGATAATGTAGGTTGTGGGTACTGAGTGCTCAGTTTCTGTTTGGAGCCCAAAGGTATAATGTAAAGTGATGGTGTGGGAATTTCTTGAATTTTGTATCTAAGTTCGGAACGTTTCATGGTGAAGGAGAGTTGACAGGATTGTAGAGCTTCTCATTACCTTTTTGTGGATATAAAGAATGTCGAAATCGGAGTTGGAATGAAGAAGTTATGACCGTTTGAAGTTTCGAGGATTTTAGGCTAAGCCATGTACGCTGGGCGTACAGGGGGTAGGATAGGCGTACAAGGCTCAAGTGTGATCGCAAAAGGTAACCACGTACGTTGGGCATACGTTCCATATGATGAGCGTACGGACATCTAGGAAAAGCCTTAATTTTTTGGGTTAGGACCCTATTTAAACACTTTATCTTTCTCTTGGACCTTCTTATCATGCCACGCGTCATGCCTAACAACAATGTTATGAGGCTTTTTGTAACGGCGAAGTCGAGCCTCATGCCATGGCACGCCTTGGTGAGCGCTATGGCGTGCCTTTTAGAACACTAGTTTGGGACATATTTTGACTATTAGGGTTTTGGGCTTTGTTGGGCCGCTATCCCTTCTGAATTTGGGCCATTATGAGGCTTTGGGCCTATATTGGATTTTAGGTGTCCTTTAGGAATTGGGCCACAATTGGGCTTTTAGTATCATGGAGTTGGGCTTCAGTTATTGGGCCAAGTGAGGGAATGGTAAGATGGTCTTTTACCCTGGGTGTTGGACAAATGAACTAGATTCCCGGTTATGGTTTATGGCTTGATTACTAATTAGGGTTTTATTTGATTGGTTAGCGTGGGGACTCTCCGGTTCAACAACCCGAGCATCTGTCTGTCTGATAATAGACTAAGGTGAGTTTGCTCACTATAATGTAGGACACTAGGATATGTTATGTGTTTGTAGTCTTTGTGACTCCTGTTGTATGTGTTATATGCATGTGTGACCGTTTGCTATATGTATATGGGATGAAATAGACATGGGGGTGAAATAGACGCAGTACAGCCTAGTGCTGACATATGAGTTGAAATAGACTTGGGGTGAAATAGGCACGGGGGTGAAATATACCCGATACGGCTTTGTGCCGACACATGAGTTGAAATAGACTCGGGGTGAAATAGACCCGACATAGCCTTGAGCTGCCAGATATGTATGGTATGCGGTATTTTGGGGAACTCTCAGCTTCGTGTGCTTATGTTTTATGTTTTAAATGTTTTTGAGGTACTCCTAGTCCACGAATGAAGGGCCCAGCTTGATCGCAACGCATCCACCCATGTTTCCATACTTTATGATTTTGTGAATTGTACTATGATAACTATTTTACTTTCATGTACTTTTGAATGCTTAAAATGATCAAAGAATGTTTATGGTTAATTTAAAAACCAAAATTTTACCTTATAATTTTTGGGATGTTTCAAGTTGGATAGATGATGTTGAACCTATACACAAATCGATGGAAACATGGAGCAAAAACGATGGGAAATAGAGAGTGAGAAAAATGGAGTTAGAACTAGGGTTATGAAGAGAGGTAGGGTAGAGATATGGAACAAAAATCATGTCTTAGGTTTCTCATTCGCTATGTTACAGTGTATCTCTTGTCGTTGTAAATGGAGTTATACTAAAAAGGGTAGATTAGATTACGATGAAATCGGATATTGAGATAGGGTATTGGTTTGATTGACTGGATTATGTAATACTTTCTAATATTAAATGTTGATTTTCGGGATGTATCTTCATGAAGGAATGAGTGGGAATAAGATTATATGTGAAAATGAAATATTCATATAGGATCTATTTGGTACAAGGAATGAAATCACAAAGAAATTTGATGAACACTAATAAAATGAGCGAGATAAGAGAATGTATTATTACAATCCACTATCATCTCTGGTTGGCTTGAAGAAACAAAATATATCATTTAAACATATTATAATGGTAACTAAATAAATCCAAAAATATATAATTTTATATAAATAAAATTTAATTAAATAAAGAATATCGTTAAATAAATTGTATGTATACTTCATTTCGTAGTAATATTTGTTAAATGCATTTTCAAATAATTATATGTTTTCGAAAAATATTTACAATTTTTAAAAAAAAGTGCCATGAAATCTCAAAATAAAAATGTAATTAAAATAAATTTATTATGTTTAGAAGAAAACAAGAATAAATAAGTCAAATGAAGTTTTAATTTTTAATTTTTTTGAAAAATTAGTTTTATTAAAGATTATATAAACAAAATTAATTTAGAATCATACTTACCATTTCATTCCCTATTCCCTGAACCGAAGGAATGAAAATTGAAAATCAATCGAGAAGAAGGAATCGATAAAAACAAACATGATTTTATTTTAGTATTCCGTTCTATCTTTGATTACCGCATTCAAAACACGATTATCAACAGTATTACAACTTTTAACTCAGGACACCCCTCCATATTTGATTTAGTTTGTGTAAAATGTTATTTTTTTTATTCAAAAAATTTAAAACACTCCAAAACGAGAAGTGGAATATCAGAAGAATGTACAATTTATTGATAGTGGTTATGACTTATGATGAATCAACAACTCAACAAGTAGTAGTTGATACTATCTATAAGAAGTTAACATATAATGATATAAATAAATAATAATTACAAACGTTCAAGTTTTTTCCAAGAGTTTTACATATTGTAAAGAAAGGCAAGTTAAGAAAAAGCAAAGTCGAGTGTTTCTTATAGCAATTATATGCAACAAATCTTGTGTAGCATATGTTAAACCTCTCACTTGAAACAACAGTACTATGACATCATTAACACACACATAATATAATATAATGTACCAAAAAAGTAGCAATATGTACAAGTAGTACAAACCTCCTCCATCTCCATTCATGTATTATTATGCTCCAAAAGCTCAGACAATGCAAGTCTCATCTTCTCAACGGAAACAGGTTTAAGCACAACTCCATCCATTCCAGCTCTCAACAAACTTTCCTTCATCGCCTTATCTGTGTTTCCAGTGAGCCCCACTATAAGCGGGGGAGGCTTTTCATGGCGTTTTGGTAATTTCTCAACTACAAGCCTTGCAACATTGTAAGTCTCAGAAGACAAAGACACATCTATGAAAACAACCTGATAGTTGTCTTTGGTTACGGCTTGTAAGCACTCTTCACCTGAACTAACCGTGGTTACATCACAACCAAGGTGCACCAGTAGCCCCTTCGTTGCTGTTCTGCTAACCCTACAATTATTAAATTTCATTTTTTTTTTCCTTAAATTCAAAAATTCATACTTATTCATATAACAAGATAAGCATCACCAACCCGTTATCATCCACAACTACAACTTTTAGTCCCGGAAACTTTGTCTGCCCGAGTTTTGCGGGCACTCGCATGTGAGGGAGGCGGGACCCGTTTAAGCGACCGGGGAACCCGAGTTTGACAAAAAAGATTGCAGTGGACCCCTTGCCAAGGCCTTCACTTTCTATCCATATATTACCTTCCATAAGATTTACAAATCTGCATGGATTGAAAATATCAGAATCAGACATATATTACTTAGGGACCAAAAATGCTAATAAAGTCTTCATTTCATTACCTTTTACAAATGGCAAGGCCGAGACCACTGCCACCTGGATTTCTAGTTGCGGGGGATTGGCTTTCTGCAAATTTGGTGAACAGCTTTGGCATGTCTTGTTGGCTGATTCCCATTCCTGTGTCTTTCACCTACACTAGAGGAATGCAATTAAGAATTGGATTCCAAGAAGCGGGAAATGAAGAGAAGAATGCAAAAAACGAACCTGAACACGTAAAAAGAAATTATTGTCGCTAAGAAGGGGAAAAAAGTCGGGAGCTCGTGGATCCCTTAAAGAATCTGGTTTTGCCATGATGGCGGAGATTGAAATGCTGCCTTCTTTTGAGAATTTCACAGCATTTCCAATTATATTTAGAATTATTTGCATAAGTCTCTTTTCATCACCAACAGCATACTCTGGTAAATCTGATGAAAGGCTCAGTGTCACAAACAACCTTTTGACTGATGCTACAGGCCTGATCAGATTTAAAACCTGAGAATAAGAAGTCAGTAATGGAATGAGGAATAAGGAAGAAGGAATGGAATGGAATGAGTACCTCCTTGAAGAGAGCATGAAGGTTGAAAGTTGTGGTATCAAGTTCAAGACTACCATCTTCCAGCCTTGAAAGATCTAATACATCATTTATGAGTGTGGCAAGTAAATTACTGCTTTTTAAAATGGTTTCAACCATGAGGCGTTGTTCAGGTGTCAAATCGGTTTCTTGAAGTAATGAAGAAAGTGCAATAATTGCATGCATTGGAGTTCTCATTTCATGATTCATAACTGCAAGAAAATCATTACGTGCACGAACAGCTGTTTCAGCTTCTCTTCTTGCAAGATCAAGTGCTACATTTTGCTCCATAAGCAAGTCTCTAGCCCTCATTGACTCTTCCAAGATTGCAGCATGTGAAAGAGCAACAGCAACCTACAAAAATATTAATTAAAACTAAACTAAAAGAATATATATATATATATATATATATATATATATATATATATATATATATATATATATATATATATATATATATATATAATCTAGATTAGGAGAAAGTGCAAACCTGATCAGCAACCACTTCAACAAGTTCAAGTTCATGAACATGCCATTGTCTAGCACTATCAGAAGGAAGCATCAAAACCATTAAAGCATAACGTTTTGTTGAAAGTTCTGGCCAATCATAGATTTGGAAATTGTTAAGATGTAGAAGTGGGACCCGCACAGCAACAACCTCCCCGAGCATATATTTACCAGAAGCAGGGCGTAATCGAGCAACAGGACTAGTTGGAGATATTTTAACAGCACGATTAGTACTAAAAACTTGATTAATTGCAGGAGATTGAATTGGAACTGTAAACCCTACAGGGTTTTGATGGCGAAGGGTATAAGAAAGTTGAAGCTCTAAACCACTGCGTGTTGGCATCCAGAGAGCACATTCTTCCAACCCCAATGTTCTTCCTAATTCCACAAGTGTAGTTTTTAATATTGTATGTCTGTTAAGAGTGCTTCTGATTTCATGAGTCAGCATTCTAACATGTCTGCCTGTTTCTTCTTGTGTTCGAATGATACCCATTTCACGATCCAGCTGTGCAGCTTTATTTTTGAGAAATAATTCTCGGGTTTTGACACTGAGTAGATCGGGGATTATGTGGACTAACATGAGTGCAGTTGCACATGAGACTGCAGCTGTTAAGACCTTTGCAGTGGTCATAACAATGGCGACTGTTCTTGTATGTGCATTAAAGGTCCATAAGTTAATAAGATGTGTGGCTCCACATAGAACAATGAAAGCACCGAATTGAACAAGTACCCATCTATAGGGAAAAACTGCTGATTTTTTAACGAAATATATCAACTCCAATGGGATTGAGAAATAAGCAAGTGCGATGAAGAAATCTGATATGTACTGATATTTCATCAGCAGTTCATCGGCTGGCCATTGTGGCTCAATGCAATTGCAAGAGTCCATCGTTGATGAACCTAACACCTCTAGACTCTCCAGGCGTACACTAATTACAGCATCTGCAAGCAATTAAACAACAGGAGTTCGCTATTAGTAAAAACCATGAGAATTGCCCTTCAGAAATCTCTTCAGATAAGATCGATCCCTTTTGGTAGTTCGATCAAAATCAACATACCTACTCCTCTCTTATACTAATAAAAACACAATTGACATTAAAACCATCTCGCCATACCTCTGATGAAATGAAACAATAACATATAGTTCAAAATTAGAATAGATCAATACTATGATCTATAAGGTACAAGTCAATGCAAATTATAACAATAACCTGGAAATCGCATACAATCAACGATTATCACAAACCTCCTCCATATAAGGGTTTTAAGAACTCAAACAAAACCCTAGAAAACCAACAAAGCAAGGAAACCTCTTACCTTATGGAGTAAGGCTCGTCAATCGATCATTAAAATATTAGCTGAAGTTAAAGTAATCAGCTACCATAAAATCTCGGTTATGTATATGTACGAATGTGAAATCGATCAAAGAACAATTGGTTGTAGCAATCAGCGGGATACAGTTGAGTGAAGACGACTTTAGGGAAGCGGTGGTATAAAGCGGATTTTAGAGAGAGAGGGAGACTCTCTCTTGGGGGAGAAGAGAGAGAAAACTGTTGGACTGATTATGACGATGACGATGATGATGGGCTTTCATTCAACTAATCATATCTTCATACTGTTTTCCGGAGCCCAAATTCTCGCACTTTCGGACAACAAAATCTGACGTCTCTCTCTCTCTCTCTCTCTCTCTCTCTCTCTCTCTCTCTCTCTCTCTCTCCGTATATATAAAGGAGCAAGTATGCATTTTTTAAATGATTATTATGATGGAAAGAATCTCAATCAAAATTAGATAATTTGGTTCATTGAATTTAAACATGTAGCTGAGTTTAGTTGGTTTATTATAATATTCTACTTCTAGTTTTATTCTCTTGTTTTAACCGTAAATAACCAACAAGTTATAATCACCATTAAATTGGACCCATACACTCAAAAGTCAAAATAGATGATTTCAATTTCAGATTACACTAATTTAAATGTATACAAACACCCTCTTGACAGATCATCTATACAATAATCAATATTTTAATAACAAATTATATAAAATATCATAATCCTTCAAATTTGACATATATTTACATCGATCAGCATCATAATAAATTTGATATAGTATTGAGATTCTTTAGTTTCAAATGATAAATATTATTTACATCATAATAAAATTTCCTTCAGTTAACAGCTAAAATCTAACGGAGTTAACGAAAATGATCATTTGTTAAAAGTTTTGAAACCACTTGAACTATCTGTGAGGTTTTTTGAACTTAGGAACTAAACTTGATATTTTCGAAAACCACATGGACCATTTTTGAAGTTTTGTCTAGTTTTTATTTTTAAGTTTTAACTCAGACCGTTTGTTATATCGTTAAAGCTACAAACTCCGTTCCTGCAAGACAACAAATAATTGTATTACCATTTAGGATTCTTTTTCATTTGTTTATAATTTATCTATTAGTTCTCTCTCTCTCTCTCTCTCTCTCTCTCTCTCTCTTTCTCTCTCTCTCTCTCTCTCTTCGGGAACCACATATGACATTCACCATCCTCTACCTTTGACAACCATCTACTCAACACCAAACCAAATATAAAAAGAAACTTGATATTGGTTCCAGCCACCTCTAACCATCGGCCAAACCAAATCAAAATAAAAAATGCAATTGGTTCAGCCACCATCGACAAACACCACCTTTCACCTCCAAAATAAAATAAAATAAACTAACTGAAAGGAAAAAAATAAAAATAAAAAATCTCAAAAATCTCTTCCTCGTTCACATACTCCTTCATCCCTTTTCTTCACAACCATTTCATTTCATCGGTACTACCATTTCTTCATTGAAAACCCACAAAACCCTATTGGATAATGTAAATAGACTAGACTCCAAACCATTAGTTATCCCAAATCAAATTCTAAATTGTTTCAATGAAAGAGGAGCAACCGGTGTTTTGGTGATGCTAGAGCTCCGACGGTGGTAATGAAAAGAGATAAAAGGGTTTTGATGGTGTAGCATATCAAGACACAAGAGCAACAAAGTAAATACAGTTTCCCACCGGCCAGTTCTCAGAAATCGATTTGAAGTACTGTAGGTTTGGTGGTTGTTGTTGGAGAAACATCGATGATGGATGATTGTTTGTCGGCGGCTTCAGACCTTCCTTTATATGTGTATAAAGATTTTTAGCGAACATGATAGGAGTAGACCGGAGAGGGTGATGGACGCAAAGAGGGGGTTTGCTAGTGGCAGTAGTCATCAACGGTGGATTAAGGAGGTTTGGATTAGGGTTTCTTTGATTAGTTTAGAAAAGATGTTGAAATAGAGATATCAATAAATGAAGGCTAAGGTGGGTTGGAAGTGAGATTGGATATGACGTGGGGTCATATTTCTTTGTTTTTTAAAAAGAAAATAATAATCATAATAATATCATTAAATTATTTGGACATTATTGTCATTCAAATCTGACAAACTAAAATCGCATCAAACCTATTTATTGAAGACGAAACATGCAAGTTTTAAACGTACGAGGGTGGCCCAATTTAATTTTAAATAAAAACTAAATGCATAATTTGATATTTGAAAAAAAAAAAAAAAAACAAGTAATTTTCTTGTGAGAAAATATACCATTTATTATTATTACTTTTGTGTTACTTAACAAGGATTTATTTTGTGTGGTACATGTAAGTTGTAGCTCACTAAACTTCAAAATCCGAATTATAAAATGGACTACAAAATTTAAAATTTTCATTCGTTTCCAAAAGTCGCTCAAACCTTCAAGCCTGTAATAAAGTTTCGAGGGCTTCAAAGAATAACGGAGCCATTTCAGGGCTGGGAGTTTTAAGGGCACATTTAACGCCGGGAGACCCCAAAACTGCTGTGAGTTCGATCAATAAAGGGATTCCTCTTGGGAGTTTAGCAGATAAATACAAAACCTCCTGGTTTTTCTTCTTACGCTTTGCAATGAAAAACATATTTGAGGAAGCCAACTCCTCTATTGTTGCATCAGCGTTGTTAATCAAAATTCCACGAATCTCCTTCGAGACCTCATTCGAATCCGGCAATGACCTCCATGTCTGCAATCATAATTTTCATGGAATCTGAGATTTACAAGACAAGGTAAAAAAAATAAAGTACCTACCTCAAGGAAGATGTCGCGTTCCATTTTTCCATCTTCCGTGAACAATACAAACAACGAGATTCGATCATTAAAGTACCATACAGGTTGTTGATTGTTCTTCACTGCAACCTGTAAAAGTGAGTTCGGAGAACCAGGCGCCATATTCTGGAACAGAACCATCGGAAGAAGGGCTTTTCTGGTCGTTCCCGGTAGCAGTTCCGGTACCTGAAGCGGTCCACCGGCAGCAAGACCGAAGGTATTTTTATTGAATTGGATCATAAATCCATCGAGTGAATTCTGTGTGTTGTTCTCCAAAATTAAGCTATAAAAAACCTTGCCATCTCTCCTTACTAGTTGTGCACTAATCTGTAAACCTTGACCGTTTGCAGCCGGTAACAAAATCGGCAACGGTGGCCTGCAAAACCAGAAAGCTTCTATGATCTGTGCAAACAAATCCCGATATGTAAACCCTAATATTTACCCTGTTGGTGTTGAAGGCGAATCAACAGGCACCATGGCATTACTGTTACCAACATCAACATCAACATCAAGACCTAGATCGAGTAAATCTGGAATGGAAGCAGGTGGAAGAGATGTTTGCTTTGTTAAAGCATAAGGAGAAACAGGTATAGTAGTAGGTGATGGTGCACCATTAAGAATATGTGCACGTGGTGTATTGGAAAATCCCTCTGGTAACTCTTCTTCTTCTGTTTTTGGAATGGTTCTCACACGAGTTACAAATGTTTCAGGCGTTTTGTGATAAACAGATGACAATGTAGCAATGTTAGCCAGAAGTTCAGAGAGGATAGATGATTCGAATTGATTTGAATCATCACTAATCACTGGTTTCTCAGCTAAAACAACATCTTTTGCAGCCTGAGAATTAAAATGCTAGTCGTTATGTTGTACTGAATTCTACAGTGATTGATTGTGTATGATAACAAAATGTAACTAGATACTAAATTACAGTTTTTAGGCCCACACAAACCTCAATAAATACTAAATGCTAAATACAAACCTCAGGATCTGTTGAAAGAAGACGCCAATATATGTAGGCCCGATCTCGTAGATCTGGATTGTCGGTCTCCAAAGTTGCATTATTTAAAACAACCTAAAAAGAAAATATCATAACTTTAAAGTTAGTTATTTGTTTAATATATATAGAAACACAACAATATAATCAATCTATGATATACCTGAATCATCTGTTGGGGTCCTTCAGTTGGCTTCTTAAGAAAGAGTTTGACCGTTGCTGTTAATAATTGCAACTGGACTTGTGCAGGTTCTTCAGGGAAACTCTCCAGGAAGCTTTCAAGAAGTTCATCAGCGTTATCAATTCTCTCAGCATATTCACCAATTATCCAAATCATTGATGCCTATGTAAAAATTAAAAATAAACAAACATCTGGTTAAATTTCAACCAAAAGAAAATGGATTTTGGAGATTTTATTTAAACCTGCCTAGTACCTTTGCCTCTGGCTCATCTAAAGTGTCCAAACTCTCACAAAGTGTAGCAATGATAGATTCATAACTGATAAAAATAATAAATTAGAGGTTAATTATTTTCATATGAAGTGATTTATTAGATGAGCATCAGAAACTTACGTGTTGGGATATCTTCTAAAAATATCTTTAATGACTATAATGGCTTCTTGAACTACATAATTTACTTTAATTTTGATGAGTTCTAGAAGAACACTAATGCAACGTTCAGCAGCTCTCTCTAACTTGATAGCACATCGTCCAATGGCACGAACACCCTTTCTAACAAAATCTACATCTACTTCAGTA